AAACTCTGGTGGTTTATGTTGGTTTTTTTTTAATTTGTACATGGATTCTCACCTTTTATGGATTAAAAAGCACTGATTCAAAGCCACCTTGCAGTAATTTTTTCGGGAGCTCCAGATGGACTCGGTGCACGAGCCGTGGTTGAACCTTCCAAACAATTGAATTTTGGGTCGTTTGGACGTTAAATCTGGAGATATTGAGGTTGGGAGAGATCATTTGGGTCTAGCAGGAGCTGCTCCAAGCAAACCAAGGTCCTTCAGACATCCTGGCAAGCTCTTCAACGTGCTGCAGGCACAGATGTCTCCAAGCTGGAGATGGATTTATTTGGGAGAAGCCATCGCGATCCCACTCCCACCACCCAGCCAAACCGAGGGGTTGTGTGGTGGGAGTCGGATCATTTCCCAAACTCTGGTGGTATATGTTGTTTTTTTTTTAATTTGTACATGGATTCTCACCTTTTGTGGATTAAAAAGCACTGATTCAAAACCACTTTGCAACAATTTTGTCAGGAGCTCCGGGTGGACTTGGCGCACGAGCCGCGGTTGAACCTTCCAAACGGTTGAATTTTGGGTCATTTGGTCGTTAAATCTGGAGGTGTTGAGGTTGGGAGTGATCATTTGGGTCTAGTAAGGAAACTTTGCTCCAAGCAAACCAAGGTCCTAAACATCCAGATTAACACTTGGTGAGCCTGTTTTTTCCATCTCCATAAAAGGAGGTGGTGGCTTTGTCTCCTGAGTTTTGTGGAAGTAACGTGGGAAGTGAAGGTTGGATCCCTGAGGGAGCTTCTCTCCTGGAAAAAAGAATAGGAAACTGGTGAAGAAAGTAATTTTTGCTTCACACAGCACGTTTGGATCTGGGGTGGTTTTTTTGGGGGTATCCATCAAGGGTTTCCAAACCTTTTGTTTTTGGAAGGGCACATCATGGGAATTCAGGAGGAGCTCGTTGGGAGCTGGTGAACACCAAAGCCTTGGGGTGGGATCCCTCCTTTTTTTCCTTTGGGGGTCTGTGTTTCACTCTCCACCATCCTGGGAGGGTGAGCAAACCCCTGGATTTGGGGCTGGATTATGGGACCACTCACTCAGGGAACCCCACAGGAGAACGGACACGGGAACTCCTCCTCAGGGGACACAGAGGTGGCTTCAAACCCCCTGAAGTGGGGAGGAACCAAGGTCAGGACTCCCAAAATGGGGTCAAAGCTTTCAAAACCAGGTTTATACATGAAAGGGTGGTGAGACCCTTTTTCTCCCGTCCTCCCAAACCAGGGTTAAAACAGCATTTGAGATTTTTTGGACTGGGACCAGTTCATGCAGCTCTTGGAGGCATCTGATGACCAGAGAGGAGCTGCAAACAGGATTTTGGGGTAGTTTTTTTAATTCCTGATGATTTCTGGGGCATTTGATGACCAGAGAGGAGCTGCAAACAGGATTTTGGGATGTTTTTTTAATCCCTGATGATTTTTAGGGCTCTGGAGACACAAAACCCCATCAAGGCAAACCAGGAACTTGAGGTGTCTCTGTCCCTGCAGAGAGGAGCTCCAGGTGGGCTCAGGAATTGGGAATCCTGGACTGAGACCAGTTCATGCAGCTCTTGAAGACATCTGATGATCAGAGAGGAGCTGCCAAGAGGATTTGGGGTGTTTTTTTAATCCCTGATGATTTCTGGGACATCTGATGACCAGAGAGGAGATGCAAAGAGAATTTTGGGGTGTTTTTTTAATCCCTGATGATTTTTAGGGCTCTGGAGACACGAAACCCCATCAAGGCAAACCAAGAACTTGAGGTGTCTCTGTCCCTGCAGAGAGGAGCTCCAGGTGGGCTCAGGAATTGGGGATCCTGGACTGGGACCAGTTCATGCAGCTCTTGGGGGCATCCTGTGACCTGAGAGGAGCTGCAAACAGGATTTTGGGGTGGTTTTTTAATCCCTGATAATTTCTGGGGCATCTGATGACCAGAGAGGAGATGCGAAGAGAATTTTGGGGTGTTTTTTTAATCCCTGATGATTTTTAGGGCTCTGGAGACACAAAACCCCATCCTGGAACCCCCATCAAGGCAAACCAGGAACTTGAGGTGTCTCTGTCCCTGCAGAGAGGAGCTCCAGGTGGGCTCAGGAATTGGGAATCCTGGATTGGGACCAGTTCATGCAGCTCTTGGAGACATCTGATGACCCGAGAGGAGCTGCCAAGAGGATTTTGGGGTGGTTTGGGGTCGTCTCGAGAGAACAGGGCAGAGCAGGATTTCTCCTGCCTTTCCAGGCATCCGCGTGCTGCTCCGTAAGGAGCGGGATTCCCACTTCCATGCTCCTTCTCCAGCCCACTGGAGGGCAGCAGCGCCCCGTCCGAGGCACCCACAGC